GCAGCCTCGACGGAAGCCTCGTGAAGCGAGCCTGTGAGCTTGAGCTCCAAAGTTCTTGAGCTTGATGACAGGGTTTTTTCAATCAAACCGTGGAAGATATGTTAAAGTATATATTGAATAAAATTAATAAACAACAAAGATTCACAATTAACATATACAAGTTATTTACCATGAATAAGATTTGTTACAATTCGCTCTGTATCGTTTTCCTTCTCATGTACTCCCACTATAAGCCTGCAAACGTCGCAAGTAGACGTTCAGTCGCTTATTTGGGATTTCCATACTTTTGGCGGACCGGGCCTTGAATTGTCCGCCAAAATCTCGAACCAAAATCATCCATCGTCCCCATCAACGCCGGGACTCGTTCCCCTCTGGCCTCTATGGATTGTCGATGTCGGCGTCGGGGATTTTGGAGTTTTTCCCCGGTTTGGGAAAAACTCTACTCGCGGTCTCGGCTTGGGCTGCCGAGCATCGTATCCAACCGCCAGAGCGGTGGATCCCTCGGAAGACGGTCCTATCGGCCCAAAGACGGGGAAATTGGAAAGATAGGTGAAATTTTCCCCGTCTTCGTAAAAGGGCCTACGGAGGTCTTATTTCTGGATGGATTCATTTGAAATTTTGTGATTAGATACACGGCATGACATAGTGCCGTGGTTGGAGGGTTCGACCGAGATCGCGCGGATACTTTCGGCGGCAGCTCTAAAGGCGTGAAAACCTATTATGGCTTAGCTGGCCGTTAGTAGTCGGGCGATTCGGTTCGAATTTGGATATGACAACCACCTAGCGATACTCTAGTGTGGTTGGAGGGTTCGGCCGAGATCGAATGAGCGGAACGGCTGAAAACGCGGAAAACGTGAAATCCGCGTTTCCCCGTATAACGGCGTTTTGGCTCATCCGATTCGGACGAAAATTTAGTAAGATAATGCTAGCGACTTGAGGAGTGCTGCATTAAATTTTGACACCGATCGCTCAATAACTTTTGGAGTTATTGGCGATAGCGTCCTTGACCAATTCAAAAGGGTGGTGAAATTTCTAATGGCCATTTCCAAATGTCATCGTGAAGCGTCCCGGGGTTCGACTGCAGGTTGCGAGAGCAGCGGCAGTGGTCACTGCGCGCCGGGATGGCAGACCCAGGCGAGATCGGTCGCGATGCGGGTGACACTGGAAAGGTCGGTGAAATTGGTCTTTAACGCTCTGGGAGCGCTATCGCCGTGAGGATCGATGTCTGAAGACTCCTATAGAGGCTTTTTCATTCTGCCCGGCCGACGGCGATTGATTTCGCAACCGTGGCGGGTTTTTGGTTTGGATTGGAAAGGTAGGTGAATATGATTGTTTCGCCTCCTTCCCAATTCAACGGTCTCCGGCATATCCGTAGGTACAAGATTATGACTTCTATGAATATACGGGGTGTTCTGAAATTCTGAAGCTCGCTCGAAGGGTGGAATACGACACCGTCACTATGTCAGGATTGTTGCTTTGGTCATGGGTGGTTTTAATGAAGGGGAGCGAGATGCTTCTCTGCATTATTTCTACTCGGAAGCGCCCCCCATTCAGTGAACCTCCTCGTGAAGGTGCCTTCACATCCGATCCTCCGCCCCAAATACAGCGTAACTGGATTGTGGGCGGTAGATCCCTCGTGCTCGGTGCATATTTGGGAAGTTAGCGGAATGGATTTTAGGACAGCTATGCCAAGTACACGTTGGGGAGACCGATGGGTCCGTAAAAAGTCGATTCTGTCGGTCCGAGTATGGTTATGTCATTGTCACGCATGTCAACGTAGTCCAGCAAGGGCCGACCTGCTGCGGTCGTGGTGCCGGACTTCGCGTTAAAATCCCCGATAGTCTGGGGCCAAGAAAGGATAAGGTCAAGGTCTGTGTCAAGAATGGTGCGTCGGGGCGGATGGTAACAGAATAGGCACCACCGCGACGTCTCCATGCGGTAGCGAAACACCGAGGCCGTGGCGTTTTGAATTTGGAGATGCTGCAGCGGATAGTGGACGATGCACACTTCTGTACCACTAGTGCAACACCACCCCCATTATGGTCTCTGTCTTGCCTGTAGATGTCATAGTCAGGGATGGAGATTCGTGAGGCCTCGCTAAGTTTGGTTTCCTCGATGGCCATCACGTCTATGTCTAGACGGTTCAGGTCCAGGATGTCCACCAGTTCCAACTTTCTGCCCTGCAACCCGTCAAGGTTCCAGGAGGAAATTCTCAGAAGGGAGGGTTGGGGAAGGAGATGGGCCATTAGAAGTCAAGCAATTTTGCAAGACGATTTGTTGCGTCAATCAGGGCCACTGTTCCCGGTTGGGGGGTGACGGGTTTGTATTGGGTGAGTTGTTGTTTTGTTTTCGTATCTGTTTAGGTGGGTTTCGTGCGAGTACTCGTACCAATAGCAGTCGAGAATATTAAATATAATTATCATTCGCAAATATACGAATTCGTTTGTTTGCGAATGATGTTGAGAATAAGGGCCATATCTCCCTGATAGGGGCCCTGAAGTGCTTCTGAAGTACATTTTTTGTCAATTGGAAAGCAGCTTAATGATAAATGAAAAACAAACTGGCTGTGTTCAGCGAATAGTCGGACTAATTCGGTCAAACTTCTTTAGTCAAACAATCCTCTGAACGGGCTTTTTATTAATTGTTCCCCCTTCCCCCGTATTTTGTTTGTTTTGTACAAAAAACAAAACACAATTTTTGTTCGTGGATTCATAATTTAAATGTAAAATGTAAATACTTTGATTTGATTTTACTGTTCATAAATTAGTTGCAAATTATATTTTATTATCAATTTGTTACAGATTACAGAAAAAATATATATATATATATATTTTATTTCGTTTATTAATGAATCCCTGCAGAAGAAATGGTGTAGCGATAGCCGCTACTTAGTTTAATGAGAGTTTACAAAGTACTCAAATTAGTGAATAAAAGCCGCAAAATAAACCTGTTGATCACAGAACACAGATTATTGACACAGAGGACACCAGTCATAATCCCTGAACGATCCTGCCCACTGTATTTGACGATCCGACCTGTGTAGTCTCCATGGTCGCCACCCTGGCGTGTTATGTCAAAACTGTCAAATTTTATAAGTAATAGGAAATTGATGGTAGTGTTTACATTTTGTAATGCATGTAGTTTATACGTTAGTGACCAACGTCGTTAGTGTTAAGTTTATATTTTGATTTAAATTATCTAGCTATGAAATAATTTATGATTTCTTGAGCTCACATAAGTAATCCCGCAATTTTTTCTAATATGTCACCAGAAGTTATATTTTCTATTTCATACATTCTTCTATGTGCCTGTATAATTTACCCCCCCAGTGAATTTATAAGTGCTGGCTTTACCGTGGAAGCAATTTTTAGCAAGTATTTGGGATCTGAACAAGAATCATTTACCACTTATCACATAAAAAAATCTTGTTTAAATTTATTTGTATATTCTTTACTACCCCTAGCATACGTTGTTTCTTTATGTGTTGTGGGATATATTGAAGAGGTAAGTTTAATTTAATTTATTTGTACTTTAATATCATGAATAATCGATTTCTGTTTCAAATTTTTACACTTTCTATACTGCGGTATAGAAGGAAAATAAAAAACAAATAGGTAAAAAATATCAGTTGCCAACATAGTTCGTATAATAAACTTTTAATTGGACACAAATAACAGAAGGGCCTTATTAAGTAGATTGAAAACAAGTTACATATAAAAATACGAGTAATTCAAATTCTATTTTACTTTTAACTGATTTGTTATACAGAACAAAAATCGATAAAAACTATTTACTATATAAATCTAAAAGCTTAACTGGATAGGCTGTCGTCCCATCCTGAACAAAAAGTGTTGGAAAAGTATTACTTATCCACATGCAATAAGTACCTCTACAAATCAAAAAAAAAAATTCTTGAAATTAGCTTTCGGTTATTAGTTCCTAGCATCAGCATAAATCTTTAATCCATTTCGTAATATATGTAGATGAAGAAAGTTTTAATTTATTTTGAATGCGAATATTGTTCCTCTATTTCCTCTATGTCGTGTATTATGACATACTCAATAAAAACTTTATGTAAAATATGTGGTAAAATTGTAATAAAACTAAAATCAACAATAAATATTTTGTTAAATACCGATATATGAAAACAAATTTTGGGATTACTGCATAGGATTATTGGTCATCAATATACTTTTCTGATGTAGTCAGTGATTATACAGGGTGTCCGGAAATGATGAGCAAAAAATTCAGGGGATAATTCTAGACTGACAATAAATGCTACCTCTTTCTATAACATTTTTTCCAAAACTGATTATTAACGGAGTTACAGGGTGTTAAAGTTAAATTTTATTTGCAGTTTTTTTGCAATATCTTTTGCCACACTCAAAATATTTTGAGGAAATTTCCTATATGAGGGTTTTTCGGGATGAAGATTATAAATTTGCCCACCGTTTTTTCGCATTTTGTAGAGGGCGCCACATACCAGCCTTTATTTTGATTTGAATGGTTCCAACTTTTTTGTGCTACACTTTATGCGACTTTTGACTGAATATTTTTGTTCTCCTAACCTTTTGACATAAAAAAGGTATACTTTATTTGTTTCGATAAATCTAACCGTTTTCGAGAAAAACGCTAAAATAACATTGCTTGCATGTGATGAATACGAAATCATTTTAATTTATTTTCTACATTAAACATAGCATGCTTTGGAAACAAGCGCTTAGTTGCCTTGGAAACAAGTTTGTGGAGAATTAGTTTTGACAGATAGTAATTTTTGTGAAAATTTGTTGTTACGCTGATGGTGGTTAATGATAAATAATAAAAAAATAACGTCCTCAACAAATAAAGAATGGTTTACTAACAAAATCATAAGGTTAAAATACATAAGTTACTAGAACAATACAAATACAAATTAAACATTCAAATCAAAGGTTCAAAGTGACGTCCTTCCTCTTCAATGCATAAATTAATTCTTCTTAAAAAATTCCGACGAACTCTATGGAATATTCCTTCCTTTTGCTTAATTACCTCACAATTAGCAACAATTCTTTCTCTCAGTTCATCGACGCTATTCACAGGTGTCCTGTATACAAGCGTCTTCAGATAGCCCCAAAAAAAGAAATCGATTGGGTTTAAGTCAGGGGATCTAGGGGCCCACTGTACAAAACCACCGCGTCCTATCCACCTTTCAGGAAAAGTTTCATTTAAGAATTCTCTGGCCGCTAAACTAAAATGCGGTGGCGCGCCATCTTGAAGCAGCCACATTGCATTTCTTAATCCGAGTGGTACATCTTCCAATAGAATAGGTAAGTGGTTTCTTAAAAAATCCAAGTAAACTTCACCATTGAGTCTTTGTGGAAAGAAATGTGGCCCAATTAAGTAGTCCCCTACAATACCGGCCCACACGTTGACGGAAAACTTATTTTGATAACCACGCTCTATTGATAAATTAGGATTCTCATCAGACCAAAAATGCTCATTGTGGAGGTTTATTAAGCCATCATGGCCAAATCCAGCTTCGTCCGTGAAAAGGATATTACGAACAAAATTTTGGTCACCATTATGAAGTATTCTAATTGTATTGCAGAAATTCACACGAGCAGCAGGATCTACGGCAGATAAGGCTTGCACCTTTTGGTAGTGGTACGGATGAAGGTTTTGTTCGCGTATTGTTTCATGTACGGAGCTCTTTGGAATGCCCTCCTGAATAGCAATTTTTCTTATACTTACATTGGGATTATTCTCTATCGAATTCAAAATACGAGCTTCTGCTTCTGCTGTTCTAGTATTCCGTTGTCGACCTACATCAAAAATTCTAGTTTTGAACGATCCAAATTCTCCCAGTCTTCGATGAATAGTACTGAACTTTCACGATTGGGGTAGGTTTCTATTTGGAAATGCTTCGCGATACAAACGTCGTGCTGCAAGAGCATTGCCAGCAGCTAAACCGTAATAATAATGCATGTCCCGCAACTCCACGTTAGAGTAATTGTTGTTCATTTTTATTATTATTTTTATGACAATTACTACAAAAGAACTTGTACAAAATTACTATCTGTCAAAACTAATTCTCCACAAACTTGTTTCCAAGGCAACTAAGCGCTTGTTTCCAAAGCATGCTATGTTTAATGTAGAAAATAAATTAAAATTATTTCGTATTCATCACACGCAAGCAATATTATAAATGTGGCAAAAGGTGTTGCAAAAAAACTCCAAATAAAATTTAACTTTAACACCCTGTAACTCCGTTAATAATCAGTTTTGAAAAAAATGTTATAGAAAGAGGTAGCATTTATTTTCGGTCTAGAATTATCCCCTGAATTTTTTGTTCATCATTTCCGGACACCCTGTATTATTGTTTGAGTACAATTTTTCCAGCCTAATGTTTTTATAGTTGATTTTATAATATTAAATATCTACATATATTTTTTTATACTATTATATTTACTTACCATTAAAGTAAACCCATGAATATGCATGTATTAAACTCCATATACAGGGTGTCTGGTAAGCATATGGCATACTCTCGGGAGAGTATAGGGGAGGTCAAAATAACCCTGGTTTGTTATAAAAAATTTTTTCCTAAAGTGCCCCTTAACGGAGCACCAAAGGGGTACCCAGCGATTTACCTTTTCGGTTCTAACTTTTGAACCGACTTGTATAATTTAATAAAATTTCAATATTTTATGTAGGTCATAAAAGCTCATAAAACCATACTACAGTCAGGGAAGTCAGAAAAGCACTTGCCACCACATTCGTTGTGCCAAAATTTTGAGAGGTGTCACTATATAGAGCTGAAAACTGAATTTTTAAATACTTTGGTTATTCCTCTTTTAAAAAGGTAGGTACTCTATATTTATTTTGATAAAATCAACCGTTTTCGAAAAAAATTCAGTTTTTGTGTAACATGTTTAAACATTAATTTATTTAATTATAAAGTTTATTAACATAAGTTATTTTTTCTTCAAGCGTATAATAATACTTATATTATATAGTGCAACACCTCCTTTAGAAGCAGCCTATTGTTTAACTAGTACAAATATTTTTCATTTTTTAACTAGTAAAAAAATGTAACAATGTGTAGGTAAGTATCCTAGCAACGAATTAAAGATTCAAGAAGCTTTGACGTTTCATTAAGTGTCAGTTGAAATTTGATGTCGCGTCGGGTCGTTTTTAAAATGTCTGAAGAAATGCAGTGCACACCACCAGAATTACTGGAAATTGCAAATACATCAGTGGCAACACTTATACCAACAAAGTCGAGAAAAATTTATGAAAATGCTTATGATAAATTCATAAATTGGGCAAAAGAAAATAATGCACATATTTATTCAGAAAATGTGATGATAGCATATTTTACAAGATTATCCAGAACACTGAAAAGTTCAACTTTATGGGCGCAATATTCAATGGTAAAATCTAAATTAAACATAGAACACAATGTAAATATTGAGAAATATTCAAAATTAATTACATTTTTGAAACGACAAGGTGAAAATTATAAACCAAAAAAGTCGAAAGTTTTGTCTAAAAAAGAATTTGACGAATTCCTGAATAAAGCACCTGATGATAAATATTTAGCAACCAAGGTATGTACTTTTTAAATTATAGGTAGATATATATTTAACCTTTTTATATTTGTAATACAAAATTTTGTTATAATTTGTAAACTTCAAGTTATTTTATAGTATCCATTACGAGAATAATAAACAATTTTCGGAAATAAAGATAGCTCATTGGAAGAATGTTGTAAAAACTCATAAATATAGATGTCTTAAAATTACGTCATGTTTTAGAATTTCCTTGCATTTTCCAACTTTTTTTATTGTTACAAAATTAATAATTCTATATTTTTTAGGTTGCACTAATATTTGGAGTCACAGGAGCTTGTAGATGCGATGAACTCATTCAAGTAAAAGTTAATGATGTAAAAGATTTGGGAAATATAATATTAGTAAATATTCCCAATACAAAAACTAAAAAACATCGTTCATTTACCATAATTGGAGAGTTTTATTTAAATTTATACAGAAAATATGCTACTCTTCGGCCAAAAGACATAACTTTTGATAGATTTTTTATTAAATATCAAAATGGCCATTGTCATCGTGTTGTAATGGGCATACATAAAATTTCAAAAGTGCCAAAAGATGTTGCATCATTTTTAAGGTTGCCAAATCCACATGAATATACGGGGCATTGCCTTAGAAGAACCTCGGCAACTATCTTAGTTGATAATGGTGGAGACATTACAACCCTAAAGCGACATGGTGGATGGAAATCTACCAGCGTCGCTGAAGGATACATTGAAGATTCTGTAAACAATAAGAAACAGATAGCGATGAAAATATTAAACCCATTAGAGTATAATGAACCAAGTACATCAAGCGAAACTGTAAATATTGATCCTGAAAATAATTTAATCGAAGACTTTTCTGTTAATAATGGTACAATTGTTAACACTGAAACTGAGAACCTTATTACAAGTAACGTATTCAACGACAGAACTGTAAACTTTGAAAAAAAGACAGCCAGCAGCGCTTTAAATATCAACAACTGTACCATACAAAATTGCACATTTAATATTCATGTTAATAAATAAAGTTTGATGATAGACATGTAGGTAATTTAGATGTTTATTCGTTTAATTCAAATTAAAGAAAAATAATTGTTACATTTGTTTTTTTATTCATGAATAAAGTGGTTAAAACTGTCATGTTTAATTAATCAATAAAATGTATAAAATGTATAAAATAAATAGTATTACCTACCTACTGATTTTATTTTGTGCTGAGATTGAACATCGCGTTATCCGCTATAAATTTTCAAAATTAGTAATTTTTTATATTCACGCTTGAAGAAAAAATAGTATATGTCACTCGGAGTGGAAGGCTCATTATGTGTTTTGCCCAATTTGCTCAGCCTCGGCTAACGCCTCGGCGAGCAAACTTTTGGGCTCAACACATAATGATCGCCTTCTACTCCTAGTAACATAATATACTATAAACGCACTAATAATGGAATAACATCACAACTAATAATTCGTATTAAAATAATAAAATTTGACATTATTACATCTTATTAATGCTTAATGCATCTAACTTAGGCCGGTGTCCCATGCGGCCGAAATCCGATGTACGATATCCGAAAATATTTTATTCGTACGAATGATATTATTATAATTCACATGAATCCGAAATTAATCTCATAGAAATCAAGTATAGAACAATAGAACCATGGAATTTATTACAAGATGAAGGTGAAACATTTTCAAATGACAACCATTGGTATATATTATAGAAAATATACGTAGTATTATATTTTCCACATTCGACATTATAATATAACATTTATTTGACTGTAAATATATCAAACAACAATCATAGTATGTTAAAAACTTAAAAAGTGAGGTTAAAAAACATACGATTTCGGATCAAAGTTAAAATTATTTCTACTTTTTCCGACGTCGTATGAATTTTAAAAATTTCGGATGAAAATGAGCGGTAAAAATTTGAATGTATATTAACCAATAGGAACACTTTCGGACCTTCGTATCGTCGGATTTCGGATGCATGGGACACCGGCCTTATGGACAAGCACTCGGCAATTGTGTGGAGGCAAGAAGAATTTATTCTGATACATTTCCAAATCACTTAAACGCAAGGCTGCTAAAAATTCAAAAGCCTTGCTTCTTGTTTACTTCAGCAGATTTTCTAAATGGTCGCCTTTTTTACATTTCCTTATCCAACAGATGTTTTCTGGTGGTACTGGAAACAATATTCCAAAATTGTCTCGAATTTCGTTGCAATAGTGTGTTATTTTTTCTATCAGGTTTTCCCTGGAGTAAGCTGGCGTCGATTACACAAGCCTCTTTAAATTTCCCCATAAAAAGAAATCCAATTGAGTCATGTCGGGCAATTTCGGTGGCCATAAAATAGGCTCACCTCGACCTATCTATTGATAACCAAAAGAATTTGATCAGTGCGGGAAGAACTACTTAAATTGCTAAAATGGGACTATGCACATCATGCATAAATTACATCTGATTTCTAGTTTCTAAGGGCACATTTTCTAATAAATCATTTAAGCTTTGTTGCAAGAATTGCAAATACATGGCACCATTTAATGTCTTAAGAAAAGAACGATCCAATGATATGATTCCCAATAATCCCCGCCTGTATGTTAACCATGAGCCTTTGTTGGTGCTTTGTACTATTGCATGGGGATTTTCTTCATGTCAGGTATGCAAATTATGGCAATTCATTACTCCGTCTCCATTGAAACAGCTTCATCCTTGAACAAAACAATACTAATAACATTTGTATTTTGCCTAAATCGTTGCAAAAACCAATTTGCGTAATTGACTCTTGCAGGATAATCAGCGGGAGACATTTCATGTACCTTTTGGACATGATGAGGATGTAGCAGTTGTTCTGGAAGGGTCTTATGAACGGTCCACTTTGTCGCATGAACTTGGACCGACAGCTTTCTTACACTATTGGAGGATTTTCAGCAATCTCATCCAGAATTTCCTCCTCTAACTCTTCTTGGAGGCCCTTCTCTACCACGATACGACAAAAAACTTCTTAAAATGCATTAGCAAAAGATTAGCTACTTTTAGCATTTTTTTATTTCGCTTGACTCTTTACCTCTTTCTCGTAAGCTACGATCAACCTTTTCAGAAATTGTTCGGTGTGGTAAAGGAAATGTATCAGAATAAATTCTTCTTGCCTCAACACAATCGCCGAGTGCTTGTTCGTAAATTAGATGCATGTCAGCATATTTCCATAATAATGCTCCATTATTTAGTCTTGTGTACTCAATCAATCAGACAATTTTTGCAAGTGTTGTCAATAACGACATAAAAACGACTAGTGTTTTATTGCAGAATTCTGATTTATTATTTCAATGACGTGCTATACAAAAACAGCTAATTTTATCGAAACAAATGTAGAGTACCTTTTTTAAAGAGGAATGACCAAAGTATTTAAAAATTTAGTTTTCAGCTCTATAAAATGACACCTATCAAAATTTTGGCCCAACGAGTGTGGTGGCAAGTCCGTTCCTGACTTCTCTGACAGTGTAAAACATCTACTGTAGTATGATTTTATGAGTATTTTTATGTATTTTTGGGTAATATTATTTTATTACTTAATATAATTGGCTTACAATTAGATATATGTACGTAGTATTATTTAAATATTTTTATATATGTATTTGGTATTATTTTATTTTCTTCAAAATAGATAAAAATACAACTGAAATTATTCAGATATATAAAAAATTCACAGTAACAAATATAAATTATCCTTTTTTTCATATGAAATCATATTAGACAATTACTATTTTTTCCAGATTACTATTCTATTCACGGGTTTCAGCCTGTATTGGAAATTGTTTGCAACTACTAGTCTTGCGATTCCATTCTTCAGCTTATATCAGATTAAAAAATGGTGTGAAAATAACTACGAACAACATCCGATAGCCATCAATTTAAAAAAGTTTTGCAATAATAATACAAGTTGGAAGAGTGTTGCAAATGATGTGGATATTGAATTTAGAAGGTAGACCAGTTCTATTTAAAAATACATTTTATTAGCACATCTTGTGTACATCTTTATTTTTATGTGGATCCATTTATTACTTCAGGTTTGATAAAGTATGCATTCACACAAGTGCTGTAGTAACAGTTATTGCTACTGAAAACTGGATCTTGAAGGTCATGCCACTTACTGTATTTGTGATCTACCAGAGTGATGCATCGTTGGTCGTAAAAGAAGCAAAAACATATGAAATTTCAAATCATAGTTCAGATGGGATACAGTATCTCAATATAGAAATTAAGTCTTCTAGGCAAAATGTGAATCCATTTATAATCAGGATTAATGCCAGAGATTTTAAAGATCTAAGAGATAGAGTTGCAAGGTCTATAGAAATTTTACCTAATGTAAAGTTTCACAAGTCTGTAATAGAACAGTTTGTAGATGTTTTTAAAGAAACAATTAAGAGTAACCCAATTTATGACATTGGCCATCAGGTGAGGAATTGAAACTAAATACCTAATATTATTTGAGCTACGAATTCCCAGTGGCAAAGTATGACATGTAGGAAATTTTATTTGAAAAACTTGTGAATTGACATTACATTATTTATACATGGTTTTCTTTTCAAATCATTTACATTTACCGGCGACGTTTTTCAAATAATATTTCCTACACGTCATACTTCATCGCTGGGAATTCGTTGCTAACTTCACACGAATTATAACATCTATCAATTTGTTTATGAATTTCTTTGTCAAATCTTGTTAAAATTGACACTTGGAACATCTTTTGTAAAATTAAGTAAAAATTCTAAATTCATCTAAACATCATCTTTACAAATCGCGAAATTCTACCAAAACAGTAAGAAACCAAACAAAAAAGGCAAAAGATTTTCATTAAGAATAAAAGTGCATTTCAAAAATGTCAAAAACTTTTTTTTTATCTACATTGGTTCAAGTTGAGACTCAATATTTTCACGTTGAATGTCGTTTTTCTCATGTACTGTGCACATAAAATTGCGATTCAAATTTCCATTTGTTCAGAAGATATTTAGAGATAGGAAAAAAATCTGTTCAAGTTTTAAGAGAAAATGTTTATAAAACAAGATATTAAATTTGGACAAAGAAGACACTCCCATATAAAGGTTATATTTCCTTGCAGGATTTAGATATGTGTTTAGGTTGTTCACAAGTAAGACCTAATGTTAAAATTCAAAAATTGTGTGAAGACACCGGAGTAAATAATTGTACCAGCTGTTACTGTAGACCAATGTGGTGTAGCGACTGTATGGCAAAATGGTTTGCCTCGAGACAAGATGCAGACCAACAGAATAAATGGTTATCGAGCAAATGTACTTGTCCTATGTGCAGGGCTATCTTTTGTATGTTAGATGTTTGTAGGTTGGGGAATATAGATGATGAATGACATGTATTACTTGTAAATAAAAAAAATTCTCGGTGGTTAAAAGCTGTTTGTAATATATTATATATTTTTGTAAATTTTATGTCTTGTTATTACTCATAAAAAAATATTAAATTTTATAAAACATAAAGCTACTTTAAATGTTCAGTTTTATGATGACTGAAACTGAAACCCAACAACAGTTAGGAGCAAAAATTAATTAATATTTGTCTTTACTTGAGGTAGTATATTTTATGAAATCTAAATTTTTTTATGGTTTTGTTTCTTTACGTAAATCTGTTGAATATCCCTCAATCAGTTCTATATTATTTTATACTTATTCTTATGCTTATGACTAAATAACTGGATTTTAGTGCATCTGTTATTAAGAATCTTATTGAACATTTTTTCTTATTTGGGGAATGGAGATTTTCATTATTAGATTCCACGTTTATAGGTTCTTGGGGCAGGCAACTCTAACTTGTTTAAGAGGTAACCACTAAATTTTAAAATAAAGCATTTTTTTTGCGATATTTTTTTAACGGCATGTTATTAACCAAGTCTTTAAGTGTTCAATAAAAATATTTAATCACAAATAGTACAAAATGGCGAAGCTGCAGCCATTCTTGGGATATGTTGAATTTGAGGCACTCTGACAGCACGCAGTATAACTAACAAATTTGCATATGCAAACAAAAAACAAAAAAATTTCCTCTTAATCTACATGATTATTGTTAGAGAAATACATAGGGGTTTTGAAAACATTCATTTTTCTGTGATTGGCGAGCATTTGAATGACAAGAAAAGGGGCAATTATTTGTTAATAACTAATGTTAAAATCCACTTATCGAAAATCCTGTACATACTTCTCTTCGAAATGTTATTTTAAAGATATGGTCAAAATTTGGAGTGATTAGAATGAAAATTGTTGGAGTATGCTGTGTGATTTGGGAAAATGCCTTTAAGGTTTTGAGATACATATATGCTATACTCATGTACTTTAGTTTGAAAATGCTTCTAATTGAACACAAATTCGTTGTAACGACATATGTTAGTAGTATTAGAGAAGGAAATAAAAGGGTAAGTCATTAAGCTGTACCGACTGTACGTTGAGTGAGGAATAGTATTTCCTCACTCAACGGTTGTACTCAGGTAGTTGCTTCGACCGAATTTTGGATTTGGGCCAGCCATTATGCATAATTATAGGAGAGATAAAACCTTTTTCTGAATAACCAAGAAGCAGAGCAACATTACAATTGAAGTTATGCCCAAAAGTGCAAATGTCTAATCAAATCACTTATAACAACTGAATTAATATGATTTTCACTCTATGTTTTCATTATTTTTTTATTATTATTATTACTCTTGGGCTAGAAACAAGAGGCAATTAGCCACAATAGCCGAAGAGGATAGGTCATTATTAATGATGTCCTGTCTAAAACAGATGTATTAATGTTTTACAATTTTTTTCCGTGTTTAGGACGATACTGTCCTAAATTGATAATAACTAGCTAATTATTAAAAAGGCCACATTTTAAGTTTGGGCAGTAACATATACATAGATATACAGGGTGTCCCAGAATAACGTGTACAATGGAAGACCACAGATTCATGGACTCAAAATAGGCAGATTTAGGCTAATTCACCTATAAGCGAAATCGCTTCGTTTGGCCGCTAGATGGCCTCAAAGTTCGTGAAAATTTTTTCAAGTTTGTAAATAACTCGAATACGTATTAATCGATTTTGATTATTTTTGAGGTGTGGACTTTTGCTTTTAATCTACATATTTTGGTGTTATACAGAGTGTTTTTTAAAACCTGCAATCCTACAAAATTGATATATGGTGATAATATCCGTTCATAACTTTTTCCTCTTTCGGGCAATAATGACGACTATTTTTTTTTGACAGCTGATACCATTTGGAAGTTTTTGGGCCTCTTGCAGAATTTTGATGAAATGAGCGGTTTGGGTACAAAAAAACATTTTTTAAATGTATACATTAACTTACCACCCATATTACAATACTTAACAAAGTGCTAGTAGGTTCTGATTTTGTAGGTTGACTGTAATTTCAGTTTGATCTTTAAATCATTGTACCTGCCAATTTTGTTTTACTAGAAGCGGAATAATAAATAGTCACAATGAACATGTGTATGCTCAAGAAAATCCTCATACTGTCAAAGTGAAACATTATCAGCACAAATTTCGCATCAATGTTTGGTTTAGGATCATTATTATTGGCCGTATTATTCTACCCGATAAACTGAATAGGGAATTTTATTTAGAATTTTTGCAAAACTCGAGTTATTGGAAGATGTGACGTTATTACTTAGAGCTGACATGTGGTTTATGCATGATGGCGCTCCACCACATTTCACTGTAAATATCTGGCAGTATCTGAACCAAAGATTCCCTCGTCGATAGATCGGTAGAGGGGATAATGCTGCTGTTAACTGACCTAACGTTCACCAGACTTAACACCTTGCGACTATTATCTTTGAGGTACTCTGAAAACAACAGTGTATACTTCCACATCTAAGACTGAAGAAGAGTTGAGGAGGCATATCCAAAATGCCATAAATGTTTTAAAAAATTGCTCTCAAGTACTGCAAAGGATGTCCTTTAACTTTCTTCACCGAATTAACCTTTGTTGTAGAAACAACTGTGGTCAATTTCAACAGTTTTTATAATAAGATGTACTAAATTTAATAACATTAATTTTGTCTCCAGCATTTTTTATTGTATTTGATTGTTTTTACGAATTATTTCAATAAAATTAGGCACGTTGTAAATACTCTAATTCGTCGTATGTGTGTATTCATATCGAAAAATTAAGTAACGTGGTATATCTTATTGTAGTAAACACTCATTAAGAATTGGCAGATACAATGACATAAAGATCCGACTGAGATTACAGTCAACCTACCAAATCAGTTACTACTATTTTAGCACTTTATTAAGTATTGTAATATGGGTGGCAAGATAATGTAGACATTCCAAAAATATTTTTTTGTATCCAAACAGGTCATTCAATCAAAATTCTACAAGAGGCCCAAGAACTTCCAAATGGTATCATCTATTAAATTAAAAATAGTTGTCATTATTGCCAGAAAGAGGAAAGAGTTATGAACGGATATTATCACCATACATAAATTCTGTAGAAGTTATAAGTTTTAAAAAACACTCTGTATAACACCAAAATGTGTAGATTGAAAGCAAAAGTCCACACCCCAAAAATAATCAAAATCGAATAATACGTATTCAAGTTACTTACAAAATTCAAAAAATTTTCGCGGACTTGTATGTAGCCATGTAGCGGCCAAACGAAGCGATTTCAGATATAGGTAAATTAGCCTAAATCTGCCTATTTTGAGTCCACGAATCTGTAGTCTTCCGTTGTACACGTTATTCTGGGACACCATGTATATATTTTTATAAAATACTAATGTTAATAAATCTATCTACAAGTTTATATTACTTATATTTATAATGTTTTTCTAATGAACAAAACTTTTAAGTTAAGAAATAAATGTTAAAATGAATAGTAAAGGTGCCTTATTAGAATTACTAATTTGGTAGTACTACAGGCAAAATAGCTTTTGTGCAGCTATGTTGCCTGTGGTACAATCATATTGAAGCCGTTCCTGTTTTACCGAACAATATATTTTTTTCTTTGAAAGAAAAGCACCTAAATTGGTAAAGTATGTAGGTAGGTATTTTGTATATTTTGCAGTTAAGGTAATACAGTCCATATAATATTTGTTAAGATAAAATTCCTAGAAGACTTTCTTGGGATTAACTGGCTTCAACACCTGAGGTAGAAAGATATTGGCGGCGCAGCTAGCACGCTTGGTTCAATAATGTTACATTATTACATTATACTTCTTTTATTATAAAAAAAACGCATTTATATAAATAATTAATTAATAATTGGAGGGTCTATAAACAAACGCAAATAATTGTACGAGAAAAGCTTAGTATCTTTTTATGTAACACACTGTTACCTCCCTTTAGATTAGAAAAATAATACTTGACAATGGAGGGAGGGGGTTCTGCAAAACTTACGGTCTCTTACGTGGGGGTGTGGTGGGGGTTACCTGAATTGAATTAAATGCTCTTACATAATTTGTACATGTGACCCCTAAGTGTATCGTCCTGTGCATTTTCAATGTAATTTCTTATTAAAATCAATGGAGGTGAAAAAAAAAAAAAAAGAAACAAAACCTATACGAGTATATTTTAATCTGAAAATATTGCAGAAAATTTTAAGGTACGCCCCTGCCGCGGTAAATTATTACAGTATAGTTCTGATTACAGAACATTATTGGTTTATATTTTTCTTGAAATTCTATCAACAAATATTGTATGGGTTGTACAATACAGAAAACTTTTTTAGTTCTCATCTTTTTCAATATATTTATAGATTTTAATTATATACAACATTGTTCTGTTGTTATTTTTATGTCAATACATTTATGTGATTGATTTCCAAGGTGTTATTTGATATGATGTTTTTTTTTTTAAACCAAAGCTTTCAGAAGTAAATATCTATAAAAAATAAAAAGGAAAAAACAGAAATAATCAGTCAAAATATATGTATTTATTTTTATAAAAATAATAATCGTAATTGTCCTTAAGTGGTTTATCGAAGTTGTAACTCTTCATATCTAAAACTAAAATATATAATATAGTATATATACTGGGTGTTCTGATTTACAGGTTCACAGGCCATAAATAAACTCTAAGAACTCACATATGTGGGAAATATACTTTCCTTAGAATTGTAAATCCTAAGCCTGCAATAATTATTTTTTAGTTGCCAATTTTTAAAAAGTTACATTAGCAAATTTTTATGTAATAACATGCTGTTAGTCTACACTTCTCTACACCTCTAAACTTGGTTTATTATATTTCTTTTTTTAATTAACATTTAATTATACAAGAAAAAAGGTAAATTGTTCATGAAAAAGTGTAATCGAAGCATTGATTCTGTAAGTAAGTTATGGATGGATATTTTCACAATACATCAATTTTGTAGTTGTTTTAAAAACCACACCAAAATGTATAAATTAAAATCACTTACACCTCAAATAATCAAAATCGATTAATTCTTAGAGTAATTTAAAAAATTCAAAAAATTTTCAGGCCATACAAAACAATTTTGGATATACGTGAATTAGCCTAAATCGGCCTATTTTGAGTCCACGATTTTATGGTCTTCCGTTGTACTCGTTCATATGGGACACCCTGTAGAAACTGGTACTTTAGCATTGTGAGAGATTCGCAAATATGCACGTTCATAGGGTGTATGTAATAAAAATATTTAAACTTCATTTGTTTTTTACTTGTTATATTAATGGTCTGCACATCTATAAATGAGAACACGTATGAACCAAGCTGATGAATATAAAATCTGACCTTAACGCTAGAGCTATTTGTATAATTATATATTTTGAATAATTGAATCTTAAAAAATAAAGAGCAATATTATGTTTATTTTTATTGCATTAGAAAAATGTAAAAGCTGAGTTGTAGATCCAGTTTTTTTAATTAGGGTAGAACGTCATTATTGGAGGCAATGACTGAAAACTCGGATAATCCAAATTTTACTTCGACAGGTGCAATTATTGTTTCAGCTGATTTCATATCGCAAATTAAATGCAATTCTACTATACGAGAATACGGATAACGAGGTTCTACTGTTACCATGTAAATAAAACTGGCAATTTGATACACATTTTAGGAATTGAAACTTTTACTTTTGCCTCATAATTTGATGAAAACCTTATTTTTTTATTTTGATAATTCAGTGCCATAACAGTATTTGAAATTAATTTTTGGAGATGACATACTGTATATTATATATATTTTTTTAATTTAAAATCAATTAATTTAATGTGATGTTCTTTTATAATGTTATAGTATGTTTTATTGATAGATCAGTAAAGAGATCCAATGTGTAAGTATGTATAGGGAATGGAAGATAATAAATGTCAATTATGAATTACAAATATCTGCTTGATAATATTGAAATACAAATAATTAGCAGCCCTAAACAACCACTTATTTGCATGTAATTTTTGGAATAAAGCGCAAAAGAAGCTTAAGGTATCAATAAAAATATTTGAACCCTTAGAAGACAACAGTAACATTTTACAAAACACGCCCAATAAACAGTAATACACAAAACACAAAATTAAATGCCCATAATAACACAACAATGAATTTGAAAGTTGTTAAATTTTGTCGGGTAAAATATTCTGATATAATCTAGATCTACATAATACTATAAAATTACGCTGAGAAAGTAGCATTTTAATTACCAGGGATGTATTAAATGTAGGTATAATTTCTATCTAGGGGGGGAAGAATTATGGATTTTTAAAGAATATTAGGTAGAACTTTGTTTTTATTTTATTTATTTTTTTTTGTAGTGGAAACTTAAAACTAAGTCCGATACAAGATCTGTTATGGTACAGGGGACACCCTGTATATTTCCAAATTAAAGCAATGGAAATTATTTATATAAAAATAAAATTAAAGAAGAAAAAAGGACTAACATATTTTGTGTTTGTTCCTTTTTTAGAAAAGGAATATGTAGGAACAATTTATTTTTTATTTTATTTAGATTTTCAAGCTAACGCTTATGAAATATATTTTTTGGAAATTAGAGGCAGATGTTTTTATTAAAATTATAAAAACTTCTCAATTAAAAACAAATCATTTTCTTTTAAATATCATTATCATCAATTAAAATTGTCATTTATAAACTGTTAGACGCTTTCAATTTAATATATTTTTCTTTTAGTATGTAATTATTTATATGCAAAATGTAAGTTCTACATGATTTTACAAATTTGACTAAAGTTTAATTCTTTTACATTGGCAGAGTTATTCTGTAAAAATGTCTTAAAGCCGAGGTATATGTTTAGTTCATTTATTTAAGACGGGTGTAAGACCTTTAAATTATAGATCATTTAGACTAATGGTATTCTACAAACAAATGATTAAGTATGTTATTTTTATTATGGTCTTTGGCGATATCGTAAAAATGGTTTACGCTGTTCTTATTTGTGATGAAATGTGTTCAATTTGATTCAAAACATATTTTATGTTTAAAACGTCAACTGACACCTGATCTCTAGTCTAAACTTTAGTTTAAAAAATGTTTCTGTTTTTAGCCTTACCTACAGAATTTTAAATTCTCTTTATAAACATTTACTTATATGAAGTTAAAAACAGTGTAGAATTATGTCTTCTAAAGTTCTACAACACATATTAAAAAGTTACAGAATAACACTGCTCTTTGGTACTTTGACCAAGAAATTAGCCAAAAATTATGGTAAAGGTTTGGCATCATAAAAACTGTTTTGTTATCATGATTGATTTTATTATATCTATACTTGTTTTACTTTTACCTGTTTTTGGCTAAATAAGTTATATAAGAAATTCCTCCATTGTAATAAAAACTGTGATATATAAATGTTCCAGTTTTCATAAATTGAACAAGAAATTGGAGACAAATACAAGGTATTTTGGAAAAAAGTACTATAAATTCAGGGACTGACAGAACATAAAAAAATAAGATATTTGCTTAACGACCATGGTCTTTTGTTTTTGAGAAATGGGTTGTTAAAGAAAAAATTAATTATTTTTTTCAAAAAAAACTAACGTGATGAAATTATTGAGGGTTCTAATTATGTCAGTGTTATTAGTCTGCTAGAAAATGCTAACTATGACCTTTCCCAGTGATGTTTAATGACAATTTTTTCCGAATTGTTTCATATGCTGTACTTTCAACATTAAAATGTAAATGTCATTTTTCATAAAACGAGTATTGGTACATTCACTGAAAAGGCACGATTTTTGAGAAAAACGTCATTGGCTGTACCATAGTAAACAAGCTTCTACTACTCGATACAAAAAGTGTTCAGAAACGAAAATAAACCGATTTAAATCAAGTTACCTTAGTACAGTTTTGCTTCCTTAAAAAGTTATATTACCTACTACATATTTGTTAGGTAACAATAAAAAAAAGGGATAACATTTTTAGCCAGTGTGTTTCTAGTGACTTTAATAATCTTTAAAACCTTTTTTTATGTAATATGATATTTTACATGCAAAGAACCTAACCTCAAAAAAGTTATGCTATAAAATGTCAAAAGCAAAGGTCCATCCTGATGACATCTAGTGGATGGCCAAAAACTAACACCCTGAGGTAAGTATTTAGTACCCTCAAGAACTTATTTGCATCAAATTTCAATATCAATCATTCTCTTTGTAAAAGATATCAATAAAATTTAATTTTCAAAGATCATCTTTGACACCTTGTAGCTCAAAAAACAGGGAAAAATATTTTTTGATGTTTTGAGGTCCTGAATTTATAGTAGTTTTTGTCCAAAAACACCCTGTAGAACTGGTTCTAATTTATTGGGAAAATTTGGTAATTTTTAGTAGCTTTTAATATTTATTCAATAGTACTATTTCAATTATCTTTATTCTACAATTTTTACTATTATTTTTACGTTAAATATTTTAATAAAGAACGAGTTACATTACATATATGTGTTTTCTGTGTTAAGGCAGTTACGTTAGTACATGGTCCGGCTATTAAGTTTTAGGACTGATTTTATTGTGGCAAAGTGCGTGGCACTATCTATGTGCGATCAACGGAATTACGAAGGAGTGTCTATTACAGTCAACAGTGTTGCTGTGGTTCCTAAGGTTTCGAGACGGCCAGCGTACACGACAAAGTTAGGACGGGGCCTCCCCGCACAAGCCGAACGAACGAAAACATCAAAATTCATTCGGTTCTTGTGGGGATGCTTTGTCCTCTCGATATCGTGCATGCTGCCTCGGCCATCACGAAATCTCCCGAACCACAAGAACACAGTCGGATGTGATACACACTCCCCACAGTACGCCGTTTGTAACAACTGATATATTTCCGTGGTTGTTTTACCGGCTTTAAAACAGATTTCTGTATACTGTTGGTTTACATGACAACTATCAAAAACTCGCTTTACACAAAACGTTATAACTTTAGATACATGTATACCGATGAAATTTTGTTTGGTCACTTATTCCCACAACGTAGTTCTCTTAACTGCACATAGATAGCGCCACACACTTCGCCACAATAAAATTAATCTTAAAACTTAATAGCTGGACTGTGTATGGCATAAATTAGAATCATAGTCAATTATGATTGATTTTTTTGCAAAAAGTTGCTAAGTTTAAATTTGATCAATATATTGGCTAATTAATTAGATTGAACTATTTACTGATTAATAAATTGGTAACTTTAAAACAGATTTAAAATGATGTTACAAATATAGTGAATTGTTTTGGGTTAAAAATTGTTAATTGTCAAACTCATTCCATATTTGCTATGCCCAAAGCTGCTTGTTTGGATAACCATCACAAATTTCCACAGATATTAAAACAAAATGTGGAGTAGAGAATATATTCATATAGTCACAAAACGTGTAAAATACTTATTACATTAGGGTAAAATCGTATTTAAATATAGAAATATCTAGATTAGATTATACTAATATCGATAAATGTTAGTAGAGATTCTAGTACAAAAAAGTTAAAAGTGTAAATGTGCATTATGACTATGATATATACATTATCTCACAATTCACATAAACAATTCAGAAAGTATTTCGCACCCAAGCTATTATGGCGGTAGGTAAAAAAATTAAAAATACATGAAACACAAATATCAATGAAACTGTCACGCTATATACACAATTCGAGTAAACAAACATGTATTTCATTACAACAGTTATGGGTTAAAAAACACATTACAATAGGTTAGACGATACAAACAGTACGATGAACAAGTTAAAATGGCAGGACGTCATATTTACAGATATACCCTATATTTCAACTAGCCCACCTAGATTTTTGTAGATCTATTTGTCCTTCCAATGTCTTAGCTAGATATATCACAAATAATTGGGACAATGCTACCCCTAAGGCTATCCCAGCAATTGTGTATAGATTTCTTTCTGCCCATGATCGAACTATTTCAATGCAACCAGAAGTCCATACCCTCTTGCTGGCTTCGGCAACCTGAAAAGTAAATCATTTTTGTTTTTGCTTACTATAACATCAATTCAAATAAAATCATTAGTTACGGTTTTGATAATATGAAAAAGAGTAAAATCTGTGTGTCACTAATCAGAATAGTATAAAGTTGTCATAATTTCATTTTCTGATGTGTACCTTAACCATAAGTAGATATCTTAACCCATTAAACGCTGTTGTTGCGAAAACGCAACGTTTTATTTATAATTTTTTTCACAAAAATCAGAGAAGTATATTTTTTATGAATTTTGTTATTTAATATTTGCTTACATTTATTTATAGCAGATTATGTTTTTCATAAAAAATAAGTGAAGTTTTTTGTTTATTTTGCACTTTCAAAGTTTGCATAGTTTTGGGGTTTTGTCAGTCTAATACAGCAAAGCTGCTAACTATTTTATTTCATAATATACATCTTTGTAGTGTTGACATATTTCGAAGGAATTATCGCTTGTTACTATAAATTAAAAAAATATATGACACTTTTATTATCAAAAAAGTTACAACCGCTAAAACTTAAAGTTGCGTTTTCGCATCAACGGCGTAATAGGATAAAAATTTGACCGAAAGTAGTGGGGTGTAACAACACGCGCTGTCGGCCGACGTGCACAGGCTTGTTCATGCCAGTTGCAATTTAGAGCATCTTTTGATGATAACCTATAATAACTTAGTGTAAAATCAGTACGTTTAAAAATATCGGAAAGTGTAATAAACCATGTGGAGTGAAAATTACGAGCGTCATCGTGCTCTAACTCTTCAAGAATTGGAAGCCGAGTTAGAGGATTTAGATCTCGAAAATGAGATTGATGCCGTAATTATACCTCCCCCCGTTGATGAACTTACGGACGAGGAAGATATAGACGAAAATATTTTGCTAGGTAAGTTTTCACTTTATAGGGACGAACAATAAATATAATACAAAAATATATTCTTTAGGGGATATTGTACCTCAAGATGTAGCTGGTACATTCGAGTTATTAGTTCCTGAAATGGAAAACGACATTTGTGTTGAGGCACCTAAAGGCAAACGTGCGCCTAAACAAAATACTGTCTATGCCCCAAACTGGAGAAAAAAACACCCAAAATACGACAATTTACCAGTATCAAACGAGGAAGACAACAAAAAGAATCTAGCGGAATTATTAGCTGATAAATCGCCTTTGGATATTTTTTTCATGTTTTTCGATGAGGGTTTACTAAATGAAATACGACATTTTTCGGAAAAATATGCTAAAGACAATAATATACATGATTTCTCTATAACATTATCAGATTTGAAGAGATTTATAGGAATTTTAATTCTTTCTGGATACCACACTCTACCACAGTTAGAAATGTACTGCAGTAGAGATGAAGACAAAGGTGTGCCACTTGTAAAAAACTGTATGAGTAGAAACAAATTTCGGAATATAAAAAGAAACCTGCATCTTTGTGATAACGCTAAGCTAGATAAAAATGATAAATTTGCGAAACTGCGTCCACTGTTTGATGCCATAAATAAGAAAAATTTACAATTTGGGTTATACGCACATAATCTCTCCATTGACGAAGAAATGGTACCTTACTTTGGTAGACACTCTGCTAAAATGTTTCTAAAGGGAAAACCGGTGCGTTTCGGTTTCAAACTGTGGTGCCTCTGTTCTGAAGATGGGTATTTATTTCAGTTTATGCCATACGGCGGAGCTAGGGAAGAAAAAACGGAAATGGGTCTCGGGGCAGATGTTGTTGTCAGTTTGCTAAAAGTTGTTGAAAATCCGGCTTTCCATAGGATATTCTTCGACAACTTTTTTTCTTCCTACAAACTATTTTCTTTTCTTCGAGAAAAAAATATTTATGCCACGGGTACCATACGTGATAATCGTATTATCAATTGTAAATTAGAATAAAAAAATGCTATAAAAAAGAAAGAAAGAGGATCTTGTGACTTTAGATTTGATTCGAAATCTAACTCGTGTGTTGTGAGGTGGAATGATAACTCCGTTGTAACTCTTATTACAAACAATATTGCCGTAAATCCCATTCAGTCTGTAAAACGATATGACAGAAAGCAAAAAAAAGAAGTGAATGTAACTCAACCACTGGTGATAAAAGAATACAAGATACAAGAATAGACACAAATTTGACTGATGCGGACAATGAACCAAATACATCAACAATAAGGCATGGAAGGGGAAGACCAACGCACACGGAGTTACCAGATGAAATACGGAAAGACAGGATTGGGCATACCATCATTCGGCATACGGAAAAAAGGAGAAAACGCTGCAGATTATGCAAAAGCCAAACGGTGTTTATGTGCCAGAAGTGCAAAGTCCACCTGCACTCGAACTGTTTCGCGTCATTTCATAAATTATAGTTGTAAACTTCATGTAAAAATGTAACCAAATATATACAAAACTTTTAAACACATTTGGCTGTTGATGCGAAATCGCAACATTATTTTTTTCCAACCCGCTATACATATTTTAATTTTTTTTGCTTAAAGTTCGTTCAGTAGCGTACAAATACTCAGATAAAGTCACTGATTTTATTTATTAACCACAAATTCAATGCTTGGCGGTTAATGGGTTAAGCCAGTGATTTGGCTTGCACCACTAACTTAGCACTAAAGTGGACCTTAAAAGTCGTCTGAATTTAAGCGGAGGATACTCTACGGCTTACAATTTTAAGTAGAACTTAGATTATAATATAACCTCAATATCGTTATAAATAATTTTTTTTCTGGTTATTGTGATTTGAGGGGTCTAGATGCAAAACCCGCCATATCCAAATTTTTCATATATGAAACTGTGTAAGCTATTAGATTCTATAGTTGTCATTCTATAAGTATTTTAAACTTTTAACGTTCATATCCCGCCACATCCAATAAAAAAATAGTTTGAAAAATATTTGTTCAATTCAAAACCCGTCATTTCCTGCATGTGTTTTGTTTCAAACCCCGCCATATCCGCACAGCCAATCAGTGAACTTATTCTAAATCATGTGACCGTTCGTAAGTTGACTGAGCAATGGTTAGCTCACGACTGGAAAAAGTTGATTTCTGGGGTCTTCAAAAGTACTGGTAGTTGTCATTTTCAATTTAACCCAACTAAACGATTTATTATTACAAAATCGCCAAACAATAATATTTTAGTCAGAGGCGAAGTTAATTATAAATCGGATATGGGAACTGAAAAGTCCATTCTTAAAAGAGGAAAGAAGATTAATAATCTTAACCCTAACAGATTAATCCCAGGTAGAGCAAGCGCTAAGAAGAAAGCTGAAAGTGTGGCCCAAATTGCTGCAGAATCACTATGGGGGAAATGGATGGAGGAGAAAACATTGGAGTTTCACAAGAATGCTATTGAATCTGCAACAAGGGAAAGTAGCGATGAACCTCATGATGATAGTTATCAGGATGAATCCTGCTCTAGATTGGAAACTGAACACGATTTGCGGGTTTAGAGTTATATTCGATTTCTTTAAATACTTTTATACTGTGACAAACTTCCTTGGCAAATAAATTTTTTTATTGAAAATATTTTTGTTTAGATTTTTAAATAAAAAAATTATAGTGATGGAAAAGTTCTCATTTTGTAAACATTACTGGTAATTTTTCCATTTGAATGTCTTCAAAATTTAATTTTTTTGACATGGGAAAGAATGCTAAAACTTTCCTCCCAAATTCTAAAAGTTAACTTTGCCCATTGCTAAGTATTGCGAATTATTTTTATTGCTTTCTGTTGGTAACTAGCAAAACCCGCCATCTCCAAACAATTTTATTGAATATCTATCAATAAATTGATGTCATATTTTTTATTTTAATAAAAATGTATTACATTTTGTCCCTACAAGTGCATTACATAACATTTGCATTGAATTTCCAATTTAATAGGTTGCATACAGTTTTTTGTGTTTTGCTCAAAATCGTTTAACATGGATATGGCGGGTTTTGCATCTAGGCCCCTCATTTGTCTTTGTGTGGTATTTTTATGTATTTATAGAAAAACATGGTGTATCGACATGTTAAATGCATTTGGAGTTGCATCACAAAATTTTTGAAAGAAAAACAAGCATTTCAGTATAAATACCAAAATTCTAATTTAAGTGCATTGCTCAAGAGAGGGTGATGCCTAGTGAAAATTTTGACTTGCATGTATTGTCCACAAAGCAGAAACTATAGAGAGGTAACTAGATTAGCATACAATATAGAAATTGTGCAAATAGTATTTTTTGCAAATGTATTATATGTTTATATGCTATTATTGAGATTTAACTTACTGTAACAGCAATTTAACTGATATTTTTGGCATTTCTGATAGGTCTCTTTTATATTAAAATATAAATTTATATTATTCAGTGCAGTTTAATGTTGAAGAAATGGAATACACAAAGTAGAATTTTCTAGATAACATGCTGCCACAATATTTTTTTCAATACTTGTGTTAAGTTTTCGCTTAAAAATAAATAATTCTGTAAATGTTCTATTATTAATATTTAACAACTTATAGTCTGCACAACATTTATCTTCTTGATAACGTTAATTTATTATAAGAATTGCTGAGTATTAAAAGGCACTAACTCCAAAAATCTGCTATTAAACTGCGCAGTTAAAATTACAGTAGATTAATATGACTGAGTCGTGAAAGGAATTAAGTCCTGGAGTTAGTTCCTTTTACGACACAACACACGAGAGCGTGTTGTCAGTAGAGCCCTATGGCTATGGTAATGTTCCGCGGCAACAAAAACAATATTTTGCTCCAGCCTCATTCATCGAGTTTAAATATCTTCAAAATGACAACTTGGAAGCTGCAGAATTTATATGAGGCTTAGTAAAGCACACTTTTCGTTTGAGACAATCAGGGCCTAGACCAGTCTTAGTATCTGATGCTTTGTCCGGTGCTTACCCCGAAGGAAAAGTGCCTATAAATAAGCATAAAGTCGATGCTGTCAAGAAGTTATTGAAATATATCTCAGAACCAAATGAACAGCATAAACTTTTTTATGAAGCTTATCTTACATGGCCCACAAATTTAGAAGAATATAATATTTAGATAATTAGTTGAAATAATAATGTATTTTGTCATTAATAAACCTGTACTGAAAGTAATAATTGTTTAAGTTTATTTTTAATTATAGCAGTTAGGTTTTAAAAGGAACTAACTCCACTACTGTTTTTTTTTTTAAATTCAAATCTAGATTTAGTTTAGTTTTTTGTAATTTCCCTACATTTTGGTTTTTTGGAGTCAATTCCTTTTAACACTCAGTAATTCATAATCATTTTAAAAATAAAAAATCCTGAATATGAAGAATTTAATGCTCAATTAAAAAAAATAGTTTCTGGTTCACTCAGAGGGTGCACTGAAACTTTTATACAAACTCGATACTAGAGATTCCACTCTGTATGTTTGTGGTAATGTCAACCTGTCAACATGACATAAGTCATATAGGACTTTAAAAATGTGTCTTATAAGTGAATTAAAAATCGTCACATGCTAGAAGTGTTCCTCATTCACAGCAAGAAAATAGCCCAGTCTATCGTAAAAACTACCACGTACGTTAAGTGCCCCATAAGAAGAAATAACAAGGTGCAAGGTCAGGAGGAAGACTTGATTTAAATAGTGGCACACATCACAGGGGTAATGGAGTGGTGCTCCAGCTTGCTGAATCACTTCATTTTGTAGCTGTTCCAAATCTTATCTCCAATCATGTTACTATTAATAAGAAATGAACTGATAATGCTGTTGTCATAGATAACGGCCCACACATCTATTTTTTGTGGTCGATGTGCAATGCTATTGTAATATTCAACGAGGATTCTCAGTGGATCAATAGCAATAATTGTGTTTGTTCACTTTACCATTTAAACAGAAATTTAACTTGTGGCATTAAAGATATAAAATTTATTTTGAATAGTGAGAATTTGTAAAATTTATTCGTTTATATTTATGTTAATTTCTGTATTATTTTTTTCTTTAAGAATTAGATTTATAATTAAAGATTATCAAATAATTATTGAATATTCATTAATTAGATTAAACAACATTATAGAGGAAATTTCGAATATGATTAATACGTACAAAGTTTTGAAAAATACTTTACACTACCTTTTTCCCTAAATCTCTTTAGAGTTTTACATATCACTGACTGGGTAATTGGTTCTCGGTTGGGATAAAGTTTGTTGAAAAGGTTACAGACTTCGATTTGTGTCCTTTTGCTATTCCCGTATCTGACTATTATTATAATTTGGATTCTTTGTCCCTGTTAAATGAACCATTTTTCACACAGAGAGCACTCAACAGTTTTTTTTTTATGGTATGACTTGTTACTAGGCATCGCTCTCTCCTCAACAACAAAACTTATTTTCAAAATCATTTTTCAATGTATCAAATTTTTAATGCAATTAAACACCGTCATTTGGACATTTAAAAATTGAATTACTTTTACTCCAAGAGACGAAAACTATTACTAAGAAACCTCATCATTGTAATCCTCAAAAAATGTAGTATAAAATGCACAATAAATTCTTGGTGCTCCATATTCAAATTTTAATGTTATATTCGGTATTCTAAGTGCATTGAATAAAGGTCACAAATATACTACAATTTAAAAGAATTGTCACAAATGTCAAAATATTGAAGTCTGAATTCTGACCTTTAAATGGCAGCACCAATCAAAATGCTGTAACACAATTATCGCCACTGTAGAGGACACTTGTATGAGATTTTAGTTGAACTTTATATTAACAGATTTTTTTTAATATTTAATCTTTATTTTTTAAATGCCAATAAAATGATTTCATACAAAAATTTTAAAAAATGCAGGTCAAATTTTTATGCCCATTGTTACACTTTATACTAATATGTGAACAGATGGCAAACACCCTGTTACATTACAAGAAAGAAATTAGAGGTGGAAGAGGACAACACTGTGAAAAGCTTCATGCGTAATTAATGGTAATATGATACTTTCCTAATTGTTTGCAAAAAATGTATACCACATAAGGAAATTATGTAGAAAAATAATGTTCCATATCAACAGATAAAAAAAAAAAATCTGGAGATACAGCTGCAAGACAAAACTTACCAAATTCACTAAAATAATTAAATCCAAAACGAATAATATTACTTACGCTTCCTTGTTGATTCTCCATCATTAACATAACAGATTATGTCATAATTTTTACTGGGTGTTATGTTAAATATAAACATTTTTTTAATCGTAAGTTCAACTTTTCTATCAATTAAACAATAATTAACTGTCACTGATCAATTGGGAATTGCAAAATGAAATTTTACTTTAAATTTTTGTTGAGTATTGTAAAACTAGGCCATATAATACTTACCGATAAATTCTGAACTCCATAACCACACATAATATTGACAAGCCGAGAACTGAGATCAGTAGCGTTAATGCAACAAGAAAATGGTACCCCACAATGTTCTACACTAGGAGAACTGCAGTTAAAGTATTCATTTTTTGACCAATCTATGTATCCTTCTGAACTTAAACCACAGCAACGAAACTAAAATGAAGTAGTGGTGAGTTTAACAGTAAATTTGTATATATCTACAGGGTGGTCCGAACTTTATGCAGGAAACTTCGAGGACAGATAGATCTCTTTAAAATAATATGTGTTTGCCCTATAAACATAGGTCTGGAACGGCACCGTTTTAGAGATACAGGGTGTTGAATTTGTCAAAAAAAATTGATTTTTTGTTTATATCTCCGGAATCTATTAACCGATCTCAATAAAATTTGGTACATATAATGCATGATAGTAGTCCTTATATTCCCTGAAATATGAGCTTTAAAGGTTCAACCAGTGGTGTACAACTGGACAGGGGTCACCCCCTTTTTTACAAACAAATTTACGCCACTGCATTTTTTACGTGTCATTGTAACTGATTTATATTTTAATGCACAAAACACGTAAAAAAGGTAACTTTAATTTTTTCCCTAAGATTCGCCGTTCTCAAGTTATTCATACCAATACAATACCCTTGTGGCAGACACTTCTAACGATAATATTACAAGAATATTTGTTTATGTTTAAAAGTAAGTGAAATTTGAAAGCACACCAACAAAATTATTTACCCTCCTTTCTACACCACCTGTGAGGTAGTGTGCGATATAAACAAAAAATCAATTTTTTTTAAAACCTAACCACCCTGTATCTCTAAAACGGGGCCGTTCCAGACCTATGTTTATAAGGCAAACACGTATTATTTTAAAGAGATCTATCTACCCTCGAAGTTTCCTGCATAAAGTTCGGACCACCCTGTATAATATGAAGTTAACCCTTTCGTTGCGGCTGCTGATATTATACCATATAATAATAATATCGAAATACCTAGTACATAAAAAATGGTGATGCTAACTATCATGGAAGCTAAAGTTTCCTATAACTTACATAATACAATATGTGAATATAACTGTTTTAAGAAATTTACCGTAGCTCCCTCCTAGCGTATCCATCCGATTCATGTACAGCAGTCACAGAACTTCTTGTGGACTCATACGATCGTCACAATGAAAGGGTTAACAAAGTAACTTTAACAATATGAATTTCATACTTACCTTCTGTTGTGCAAAGTCTATGAAATTTTGCAAATCTGGATCATCTCGATATGTATGAATAATTTTATCAGTAAAATTTTCCTCTAAAAGTGATTGCATTGAATGTGGAAAAACAAAGCCAAGAATTGCAATTCCCATTTCAAGAAGAAAGAAAATTAATAGACATAAAGAGTACTGTAATAAACATAAAGCAATTATTAATATATTATTTAATATTAGCTTTCAACTTACAAATTTAAGCAAACATGTATTTTCTCTTAGAGCTCCTACACATCCTGCAAAACTGACAATGAAAACTACAGCCCCCATTATGACCATTACTAAAGAAATATTTAAAATAACATCATAAACATTTTCAAGTTTTACCCATCCTGTTAATTGCCACTTATCCACAAAAGCATACAGACCAATTCCAATGAGAAGACCTCCAAATAACTACAATGAAATAATGTTAGGCTTATGTTTCAAATAAATAGGCTATCACATACCCAAAACACAAAATTTAAAATAAAAATTAGATATTTCACACATGGACTAACATATGTAAAATTACTGGAGGGTTGACGTCTGTAATCTCTTCTGTGATGTGAAGACATGTTAAACGAAATCTTAAAACAGTAGAAAATCAAGTCTCATAAGATATGTCCTATTTTAAAAAAGCATTCATTACACAACTTAAGTTAATTTAAACACAAACATAGTACATGTTTATGAAATAAGTTGAAACTGTTTGTATTATAATATACACACTACTTGACAGTTCTTATTCACTGACAACTGACGTTAATTTGACAATCGACAGAAATGTACAGAAAAAACATATTTCGGGGCGGGGCTCTTCCGGAGTCCGTTCATAAATATTATTCTATTCAACATTTGTATAGAAAATGTATTTTTAGTTTGATGTTTTTTTTTACTTAATATACTAGAATTATTTTTATATTTAACTGAATACTTAATATATAATTTTTACTGTTTTCTTAAATTTATGTTGTTTTAAGGTACTTATGAAGGAACGCAGGGTGTAACAGCAGTAGTATATGCTTGTTTTAAGTCGACAAATAGAATACTTATCCTCCTTTTTATTTTCAGTTAATTGAATTTGCATTCTAATTCTATTAAAATAGCAGCCACGAATGTGCAATCCATAAAAATCTGTAAAATCGACTTTCATTATCATTATGTTCATCCTAATTTCAATTAAAATACACCCCCCCTGCCCACTAACTTTTTCTGTTTCAGAGACTGCCAGGATCAAGAAACGAAGACAACGACACACACACATACACCCTTCCCCATACCCTCCTTACCACTCCCCTACCGCGCTAGCCTAACACGGCGTCCTGGGTGAGCGGCGACAAACGGCCGGTGCGGCCGGCGCGATCGACGCGGTTGAAGTGGCCGACGCGCGCGCGCGCGCGCGCGCCATTATTCTATGGCTAGAAATTGGCCTCAATGATTTGGGATCGAGGGGAATTATCCCTCTTTATCCTGCCTCATCTCGTGTAGGCCTGGACAGCCTTCGTAGGTGGGCCCCATCCGTCGTCTACCCCGACCGCAAATGCGGCCGGTGTAGGCGCTTTGTGGGACCTCCTTTTGTCCTGGCTGGGCCCCGCCGGCTAGGGCCCTTTCTTCTGGCGCTCTTCTTGCTTCGCCGGCTCGTCTGTGTAAACCCCGGGGGTAGTGTCATGTTTATGTGTGGTATGGTTGGGTAGGGTAGTGCGGCTATGCAGCCTGGGATGCGCTTTGCTAAGGTGGCCCT